AAAATGGTGATCAGGAGTGGGATCATAAATTTCCACGTAGAATGACAAATGCTTTAAAGGAATTTTAGAAACAGAAGAACGGAGCGAAGCACAGATTTTTGGTAGCAGCATTTTCTCAGGTGAGCTGTTTTGCTAGCAGCAAGCAGAGACTCGTGGCTTGCTTAAGGCAGTCATCCTGACTCAGCATAAAAACAAAACAAAACAAAAAACCAGCAAGGTTCTTTTAAGAGGCTTAGCTAACGATTTAAAAGTTGTACATACAGCTGTAAGTGGCAGTGACCACATCTCCAAGCCGGCAGCTGCAGTCACTCTTATGCCCGCCATCTTGGAAAAAAACGTCAGTTTAAAACAGCCGTGGTTTTACAGATAAGACACGTGGCCAGAAAAACATAAAGATTTACAGTAAAGTCAGACTTGGATGAACAAAACCTCTAAAGGTTTACAGTGTGTTTAAAAATATAGGTGAGATTGAGAGAGAAAATAAAACGACAAAGTGGTAAATAAATACAAAAGCTGGCATTGTGGTGGCACACGCCAGTAGGATTTACTCCAGAGGCAGAGGCAGGCGGATTTCCAAAGAGAAACCCTGTCTCAGAGAAAAAATAAATGAAAGTAAAATAAATAAAGTAATAATAGATAAATAAATAAGCCACGTAAAGATGGAAAATACACAGAGAGTCTGGATACTGTATGCTATTGTGTTTTTCAGTTTTTTGATTGCTCAGGAAGGAACAACTGCTAAAGTACACTTGATTATAAATGCTGCTGAATTAATTCAATTTATATCTTTTGAAAATGCCTTGACTTCAAAATTTAAGTATAAGGATATGTTACTTGGGAAAGGAGTTTTCATTTATGTTTCTACAGAAAATGAAAAGCTGAGGATTCCTTCCAGGCTTCTGTGGTTTGATGAACCAAGACCCCCGGAAGCAGTGGGTCAGGTGTTCCAACAATTGAGACAGCTAAGATGATGGAACTTCACAGACCCGGAAAATAAGGACTTATACAGGTTTCTGAGTTTTGTCATGATTCCCATGGTATGAACAGTGCCCCCTTCCAGCATGAAGCAGTTTGGAATGAGCGACGTCCTAATTCCCATCTTGTTTATAAACCTTTGTTTTCATTTAAATGGGATTGTTTATAATCGGTTAATGATCACAACCAATCTCTTTTTAATGGTAAAAAGTGGAATTATGGTATGGGTATTGTTTTTCATTTATTGATACAAATTCAAGGTCAATTTTGTGATGCGTATATTTCTCCTCTTGATTAAGTATTGTGCTTATACTGTTCTTTTAAAACACAATGCATAATTGAATACAGACTATAGATAGTTACTTATAATAGTTAGAACTTATAGTTAGGTAAGTTAGGTTTTCTAGATAGATAGAGATGTATTTGAGACAGATAGTCTTCAAACCTTTCAAAGACCTTCAGAAAATGGCATTTAAAATGGTTTAGGGTTTTTCTTGACAATGAGAAATGTCTGCTCCTGGCAGGACCAATTACGTCTGAGAGGAACATGGGCATCGAAGAAACTTGTTATGGAGTTTGCTTTCAACATGGCAAGATTAGCCATTTGGGCAAGAAACTGCTTTTGCCTAGACTGTTTGACTGTTGCTGTATAAACTGGACATGCAGGACCCACAGGAAAGTGACTGGTGAACTCAGTCTTACAGGGTTCCTGCTTCATGGAAGAGTCTAAGAGACTTTCTGCAGGACAAAGAAAAATGACTGACAGACTGCCAATGCAGATGGACAGTTTGAAATTTCCTGCTTTGCTGAGAAATCTTCTGGACACATTGTGGCCTATGGGCTGAAGATGGATGCCCCAACGTTACAGAGGAACTTCGGGTGACTGTCCAGGCAGTAAGATGTCTCTGTCAATCCTAGTGTTTATATATTATCCTTCTGTGGTCTTTGATGGATATGAAGACAGATAGTTATAGTTATAGTTTTCCTTAGTTATGATAAAAGATAAGCTACATATAGAACTTTGGACTCACAAGGATGGGATGGATGATATTTTCTTTAAATCTTGCTAAAATATTGTAACTATGTTCTTATTTGATAACTGTTCTGTTATATACATTTTGACTGTGTTAAAGTTAAGACCTTTTTTTTTGTTTGAACAGAAAAGAGGAGATGTTGGGGAAGTCTTACATCAATAAAGCACTGTTGGGCTAATAGTAATCTAGATAGGTGGGACTAGGAGTCCAGGAGGACTCTGGGAAGGAGAAACACAAGAGAGTCAAGATGTAACGCCATGGGGTAGGAAGCCCGGAACTATTCTCCGGTAAGAGAAATACTTAGATTAACAATTATGGGGTAATTACTTAAGTCAGAGCTAGCCAGTAAGAAACAAGCAAGGCCAACAGCTTCATAATTAATACAGCCTCCTGTGTGTTTATTTGGGACTGATGCGGCTCTAGAACCAGGATGGCGGGAAGGCTTCTCTCAAAGAAAAAGGCTTCCCTTTACACATAGGGGATGGCATAACAACCTTAGGAAGATCTTCCTGGTGTCTGAGATGTGTAGGTAAACTTCTGTGATGACCTGTTGCTAGTGCATCTGAATCTGATGTATCAGATTGTAAGTCGTCTAAGACCTGCAGTCTAGTGACCACCGTTTCTCTGAGTGATTGAATTTCCGGGGTCAAAATTTTTTCTAAGGACTTCATAGAATCTGTCTGTTTCTTGGATTCATCATTTCTACATGAATCTAAGCATTTAATATTCTCATCCTTAGATATTATCTGAATGGCATGTAAGTTGCCTTCTAGGAACGTGTTCTGTCTGCTAACAGGTCATTATCCTCAGACATGGAATGAATTGCTTCAGTAAGTTTAACAATCTGGTTTTCCAGCTTTTGAGTTTTATTAGTCAAGTTATCAGACATGTAATGAGTTGTTTCTGCAAGCATGTCCTGCTGAATTGATTCCATTTTGTCCATAATGGTAGTGGGCATAGAATCAATTCTGTCTTGTAAGTTGTTATGTTTAAGTTCCAAGGTATCTACTTTGTTAGACTTTTCCCCATTGACTTGAAGATTTTGAAGTTTTGTCTCTAATTTACCAATATTTTTCACAGCTTCTCTGCTTTCTGCTCTATGATCAAGCCCTCTCTTCCAGGATATTATGTGAATTATGAAGCTAATTGTTAGCATTAGACATAAATATATTTGGGGCATGTTATAATCCTCTCCCATGATGTCATTCATGTAATAAGCAATGAGATCTCTAACGTTCTGTATGACAAGATTATCTGCCATGGAACCAGCTTAAACTGCTGGAATGCAAAACTTACCTCCAACGATATGGGGTCAAGGAAAGGATTTTACCTGCAATAACTATGTTTTGCCATCAGGCGGCACAAGTGTGCCACCAAACACAGCTCCACCACGGATGCTCTGTATTTTTCGCCGTGGTATCTGGAAAATCTTAAGTAGCCTTTGCAAAAATTTAGCGAGGAGGATTTTATTAAAAGGAAGGGAAAGAGCCCCGCGCAGATTGCAGGGACCTGCAGGTTTGGAGTGCTTTGGAACCTTATGGGCAGGAAGGAAATGGTGGAGGTCTTTGGAGCAGCAGATGAACAAAAGCGATGGAACCCAGTTTGGCAGGAGAAAACCTTGCTGAGTAGGAGAATGGGACTGAGTTGGGAAACCTCAGTGACTTCGGAGGGCCTCTGTGGGGCACCGAAATTTGCCAGGCCGTAGGCCACGCACATAGGCTGGAAGCCATCACCTGGCTAGGGAGGGAGGCAGAGGAATGGGAAGCTGGGTAATCTTACTTGATGACACCAGATAATGCAGATATATTAAGATACACAAAATAGGGAAGTCCTATGATATTTTTTTTTTGTTTTTTTGTTTTCCTGGACATTTAATTCTTTTTTTTTTTTTTTTTTTTTAGTCCTATGATATTTTATTGAAAGAGAAATCACTTAAGTGAGAAGCCGAGAAAGCCGACAACCAAAGGTCCGCACGGTGCTCTCCAGGTCACAACTGGAACCCAAAGAGAGAGTCTTCTCCCCGTAGCTCCTTTTATCCCCCATACTTTCTTTCTTTTTTCTTTTTCTTTTCTTTCTTTTTTTGTTTTGTTGGGTTTTAGGAGACAAGGTTTCCCTGTATTGTTTTGGAGTCTGTCGGTCCAGCCCGGCCTCGAACTCACAAGAGATCTGCCTGCCTCTGCCTCCCGAGTGCATGTGCCACCACCGCCCGGCTTATCCTGCACACTTTCTATGTACCTGTGAACACACCCAAACGGGCATGGTCAGCACTTCAGGTATGTAAGATCTCTCCCTACAAACAGCCATCCTGCTTATCTCCTTTTGAGGTGAAAATAGTCTACTTAGTCATTGGAGACAATCACTTGTATCTTTTTAAGTCTGATTAAAATAAAAATTTAAACAAAATGTTATAATGCAAGATGAGTTCACATCTACGCAACATGTGTATGTATACTTAAACATGCACATATACATGCATATTATACATTCTTTTAGCTCCAGGGAGCTGAGCGGAATTCTTAGATGTTTCTCTGTATTTAAAATGTCACAAAGTATCAGTATTACTTTATGAAGCCCAATTCTGCTGTGTGAGTTTAAATTCCTGCATTAAACTTCTAACACTGATTACTTACTTAGAGATTAGACTCTGTCATGCAAAGAACCTTGTAAGAAAAGATGAGCAATACCTTGGAATAAAATGAGAAATACTGTTCATCTTTCTTTTTTAACCTGAGTTCATCCTAGTGAAATCCAATGTAGAACATTTAATTTGTCACTGTATCCCACTTCCTCTATCTTATAGCATTTATTCATTTTCATTTGTAAATATTCATATGGTTCAATCTGCACTTTTCTCTTTATTGATAAATCACTTAATTTAACAATTGATTTTCCTTTAGTAATAGGTGTCTTGAAGATAATAATTTAAGTGTTATACTTTTTATAAACTTTTCAGGATTGGTTAAGCTGCTTATTTTTTTTTAACACAAAACTAAGGGGAAAGTGGGAACATAGTTCCCCACTATCACTAATTATGCAATTCCCCCAACTTGGGGAAATCGTAAGGGACAGCACGTGCAGAGTGTAATGGACAGCCTTATCCTGGGAACATACCTGCATGATCACAGCATCTTCCCCTTCGGGTTAGTTTTTAAATCTTTTTCTTTTATAAATTTTTATTTAAATAAAAAATCTTATTTTACATACCAACCCCAGTTCTCTCTCCCTTCTATCCTCTCATGCCCTCCACCAACCCCCATCCTACTCCCATTTACTCCCAGGGAGGAATCATCAAAGTCTGACACATCATGGTGCAGGACCTAGGCCCTCCCCATGTATCTAGGCTGAGAGAATTTCCCTTCATAGGGAATGGTCTCCAAAAGCCCATTTGTGTACTAGGGATAAATACTGAGTCCACTGCCAGAGGCCCCATAGACCACCCAGGCATCCCAACTGACACCCACATTCAGGGGGCCTGGTTTAGTCTTATGCTGGTTCCCCAGCTGTCATACTGGGGTCCATGAGCTCCCCCTTGTTCAGGTCACCTGTTTCTGTAGATTTCCCCAGCATGGTCTTGTCCCCTTTGCTCATCACTCCTCTCTCTTGACAACTAGGTTCCAGGAGTTCAGCTCAGGCTTAGCAGTGAATCTCTGCTTGTAAATTGTTTCTTTCAGTGATAACAGTTCTTCTTCTTCTTCTTCTTCTTCTTCTTCTTCTTCTTCTTCTTCTTCTTCTTCTTCTTCTTTTTTTTTTTTTAAGAGACAGGGTTTCTCTGTATTGTTTTGGAGGCTGTCGGTCCAGCCCAGCCTCAAACTCACAGAGATCCGCCTGCCTCTGCCTCCCTAGTGCTGGGATTAAAGGCGTGCGCCACCACTGCCCGGCTAACAGTTCTTATTGTTTAGTGATTTTGATAGAAATTCTCTAACACTGACTTGCAAATTACCAGGAGTTCTTCCTTTACTGGAAGCATGTTCTCAACAGAGCCTTAAATATTAAAGTATACACACCATTGATTATGACCATTTAAGACACTACACTCCAAGAGCTATCCTGACTTACATTGCTGGGTGTTTGCACGGCGAGGCTGGCTTGCTCCATCTTTGCTTCTGGTTGGTTCAGAACTGAGAGCCTCTGTCTCTAGAACTCACCTTCTGGATTGAGCACTGATGTTATCTTCTACTCCAGAGTGACTCAGCCACTGTGCTTCGAGAGGGAGGAGAAGGGAAAGAGAGAAATGGAAAATCAAAAAAGAGAAGGAAAAATGAAGGCGAGAATCTGGGAAGGAAAGACGAGGGAGAAAGACAGGTGAAGTACAAACAAGAGGGAAGCAAATGAATGTTTTAGAAGGAAAATGAAGAAAAAAGATGAAGGAAAAAAATCACCTTTTCAGAAATGAATTTTGTACATCATGTCTTCTGATCCTGATACAACTTCTAGCTCCTTGTTTTTAATCACTCCTTTTAGTGCAAAGAGACTGACCTTCCTAAAGAGTAAGAGGGTTAGCTTGACTGAGAGTTCGAACATGGTTTCCTGTTTAGATGTTTGGAGTTTGGGGCAGAGGGAGAATTATGAAAAAGAGTTTACGAAACTGTGAGGAAAGAAGAATTTAGAGAGAAGTACAGAATTATGAAGGTTGTTGGGGTAGGAGTGAATTAAATAGGTTGTAGTAGTAGATCTACCTGTTTTTACCTGCCAAGTTCTGGGAGTACAGGACTCTACTAGCAAGTCCAGCAGATTTTAACACTTTGAAAGGAAAACACATCAACTGTTAATGCAAATGAGAAAACAAGAACCTTCAGAAACACAGCATTATGTTTTTAAACTGTCACAATCAATGAAAGACAATTTTTTTTGTGTGTGTGTGACAAGTCTTTCCTAGGGTGGTACAAAACGTACATGTACTCTCACCGCAGAAAAGGAGACCCACAGCAGACTGAAGTAACAGCCACACTAGAGTGCAACTTGTTGAACCCCTGAGTTTCCACTGGGGTTCCTAACAGGAGTGAAGTGGCATCCTTGTCCCTGAATTAAATTGTAAAAGACCAAGCTGGAGTCCATGGGGAGCTGGAGAACTGCTCAGTATAGAAAACTGACATGATGAATGTGAGAAAAACCTATGCTAGTTATTCTGGCAGGGGATAAATATCAAAAGTTAAATGCCCAAATATTCAATGCATAAACAAGCAGATGAATTATACAGACAAGTCTCAAGAGAGAAATTATGCAAATGGCCAACTAATACATGAACAAATGTTCATTATTTTCAGTCACCATCAATGCAACTCAAAATTACATCGAGATATGAGATACATCTCATCTCAGAGTGGCTATCATTGAGAAAACAAACCACAAACTAACTGCTGTGAGGATACTCTGAGTATGGAGCCCTTACACACTGTTGGTGGGAATGTAAATTAGTGTAGTCACTGTGGAAATCAGGATGAAGCGGCTTCAAAAGACTAGAAAAAGGATTGATCTGACTATCCTACTCCTGGGTATATACTCAAAGGACTCTAAGTGAGTGTGCCACGGAGATGCCGGCACATCCATGTTTAGAGACACTACTGTGCACAGCTCTGCAGATATGGAGTCAATCTAGATGTTCAGCCACAGATAGATGGATAGAGAAATTATGATATCTATCTAGATATGAAATTTGTATTATAATATGTAAAATACGATTAAAAATTTAACATCCCTTCCAGCAAAAGAAAGTAGTTTATATTTGTGTATCTTTGAGATGTAAGAAAGGCCCTAACAAAGCAATAAATATGTGAAGTTTGTATATATATTATATACTATATTTTACCTATATTTTATATTTATGTACTATATATCCATGTACCTGCCTGTGTGCTTATCAGAGGTGAAACTCTCTGTTCAAACTCTCTCTTTTCCCTGTTTAAGAACTAAATGCCCAAGTGAAGCCAGCTGAGATGGCCTTAAATGTTAATGGCCTTAACTAGCCTGTTGAATAGGGCAGGTTTCCTTTCCCTTTCTTATGTAACCTCTTTCTTTGATCTTGACTCTGGGGGTGGCTCTTAATCATCACCCTACATCCTTTGGTTCCTGTTGGGGTGTTGTAATCACAAGCTCCTATTCTAAAACAGCCTGTGCTCTCAGAAAATTATGGGTCTTCTCGCTTCTTCTCATACCCCTCTTCCCGTAGGGTAACGAAGAGGCAAGACCAATCCTAGGTTCTTCCATCCAGCGACCAACCCTCCCCCACCGGGTCTGAACTGGAGCAGGATGGTGTTACAGGATTTGCACCCTTCACTCTGGGTCATACATAGTCTAGTTCTTGAGGTTACACTGTGGTAGGGAGCCAGGGACTGGCTTTCCTTGGGGCCTGACAAGAAACCGAGGGTCTCTGGAGTGCAGAAGACAGCCCTCTCCCCCATGTATAGAGACCTTCAGAAGACCTGTGTGTGTGGGGAATCCCCCAAATCTACCATGCTACAGGTGTCTCCTGAGAACTGAATGCAGCTTACATGAGGGTGTGACGCTCTGGTGCTGTTTCTCTTGGAACTATGTCCCATGATAACTTTCCTGAGGCTGGGAAACAAGTCCCTGCTATGGGCTCCTCTGAAACTGTTTCCTGTACACCTTGGAAAGGCCTCTCCCATTAGGTTCTAAAAATGTTCTGTACCAACAGCTCTGGTCTTTTCCCAGATGCCCAAACAGGTTAAAAGAACAAATGATTTATTTTTCTTGAACCCGGTGTTGGAAGGAATGTCTTGCTGACTGGCAGACTCAATCTGTCCTCAGTAGAATGTCCACTAACTGAGCAGGAAGGACACAGCGCCTGAAAAAATGAAGTGGGGGTGACGCGAAGGGTGGTGGGGGGTCTCCAGCAAAGCCAAGGAGGAGCTCTGACCACGGGGAGAGCTGAGGGAGTCTCCACACTCAGGGAAGCGCTGGGAGGAGGCAGCTATGGCAGAGGCAGCAGCTGGGACCATGTGGTAGGTGATGTTATTTACGATTTATTAAAGCTTGCCTGAGGATTCAGGTTGTCTTTCCTGGGACCTGCTGTGGCGTGTGTGTGTGTGTGTGTGTGTGTGTGTGTGTGTGTGTGTGTGTGTGTGTGTGACTTCACGATGAGCTTTTTGATGCAAGAGTGTTTTCTAGCATCTGGTTCAATACTTGCTCTCCACCTGATTATCCGGTCACTGGAGAATCCAAACGTCACCCCTCCCCCCCCCCCCCAGCAGTAGTAGCCTGTACCTGCTCACAATTTGGAGTAGTTGCTCTCAGGCACCCCAGAATGAGTAGAAAGCTCTTCAGATTAGAAACATAAATCCTAACCTCCTTTCTGATTCACCAGCTGACAGGGCCAGTCATCAGGGTTCCGTGGGTGCCTGGAAGGGGTTTCATGATCTTGTATCCCAGAACAAGGAACTGAGCAGGGGCTGCGGGGAGAAGCATAAATGGGAGTTTGTTAGGAAGACATACATTTCAGAGGAGGAAGGGGCCAGAGCAAAAAGCAACACCCTGCAGCACAAATGTCACAGAGCACACGCATTATGGCCCATTTGCATAACTGGGCTTTTGTCTGCTTGTTCTAGCGGTGACGTCTTGCAGCTCCTTCCTCATTAGCATTTTAAATCTCCACCCAGGGGTGTGGATTTTACTGTAGGATTTGCATCCAGGGCCATCCTCTGGAGTGCTAGGCTCCCTCGCCCGTGGCTCCAGCCTGTTTAGTCACACTTAGCGGTGCATTTCCGGCCTTCCTCTTTATAGTCTGTTTGAGGCATTTCTTATGGGCTAGCCTCAACCTTTGTGTGTGAGGCTTTCTGGGCCTCACTCTCTTCCCCAGTTAAGAAGAAAAAGATCTGTGGCCTAGTCACTTTTATAAATTTATTAATTCTTTTTTTTTCTGAAGAGGACTTTTAATTCAAACTGAAAAATCAAATATTCTTAAGGGACACCGGACACATATAAATTCAAAGGAAAAAACAAAACCTATCATTCTGGAAAGGATGAGCCCTTCTTGTGTGAAGAGAGACCAACAGCAACCTTTTACTTGAAAACTGTTGTGCCCACTTGGAGAGGACACCAAGGCTTCAAAGAGCTTAATGACACTGAATGCAAGTACAAGAAGGTTCGTTTAATTTCGGAAAACCAGCTAGCTGGGGCTTAACTCTGTTGGGA